CTGCTCGTATTGTGGCCGCGGCTGGAGGCTCTCGGCGGCAGCCGGAGTCTAGGACCGCTTTGAGCGTGCGGGCAGCCAGGACCTCCTCGCCGTATTGTTAGGTAGAACTGCATTTTAATGACTGCGTCCCCCCTGTCGGCTGAAGTGCCGGGCGACCTCCCCGCACAATGAAACACTTGTGTGAAGACTTTTAAAAGGAAGACAGAAATTAGGGCATAAAATGCTGATCTAGAAGAAACTGCAAAGGGGAGGATAGGAGGATTCCTTTGAAAAGAAGAGGAGCGCTCCTGTTTTAGTTTTTGTTTTTAATGCATTTTAATTTGCAGTTGGAAATCGGAAGGTTACTTTCTGGGAGGTAAAAATGTACAAGAATAGATGGTATAGTATGCTAAAGTTTCGACTTTGGGGATCTTTTCCTTATTTTTGCTGTTTGGCAGATACGGTCCAACACTTGCCACGGAGGGCATACATGAGAATGAATGGGCAAAGAGGCCGCCCAAAGTTTCAGGCTCTGTTCGCTGGAAAGGAAGCACACAAGCAAAATAAGCTTTACCTTGTAATGGGTCAATAGATACTAAGATAAAAATAGGAATTACTAATAATGAGTTAATGAACAGTATTGCAGAAAAAAATCAATTATATTCTTATCTACCACTTATATTACAGGAAACGCATATAAATCACTGCCGATAATGACCTTATTAGGGAGAAACCAACCTGGAGGAATCTTTTGATCAGTGGGAAAGAGTAAACAATGCAGGTAGTTTGAAGCTAGTTTAAACATTCTAAATGCTTGCCTTCTTTAAAAGTCATGCCTTGAAAGGGGATGTCCAATGGCAAAGGATGGGAAATGTCCTTTATGACAGCTTAATAGACAGCCCTCCACTGGGGGTATTATGTTCTAAATTGCTGTGGATTAAACAGTTGGAGAGCCCGGGAAGGACTGTTCAAACAGGGCTGCCCCCTCTTGCCTAAACAGGGTCGTGTCTGGGGAGGTGAGAATCCACCAGTCATTACACTCAGTATTTCAGACAGGGGACCTTCTGGGCCTGCCCGATACCTGCTCACTGCATGGGCCACATGTGACTCTCTCCACCCTCTTGTATAACAAGGTAACTGGGATTCACCCTCATCCATAAATAAGCATGTCGAGAAAAAAATAATTACCTCTGCTTGCTGCTTTTAATTAAAGCCTCCAAGGGACAGTGTTGGATTATGGTAATGAGCAGACACACGTCCCTTCTTGTAGGCTACAGAGAAAGGTTAGCTGACATGGAATTAGTGGCCCTGACACTCCACTTGAAATCCATTCGCTATGCTCCACTGTCTCCGCCTGCTTGCTAACACTGCTCCCCTCTTTGGAAGAACGGAAAAAATCAGCTCCTGGGCATCTAGTTCAATTCATAGGAAAAGAGTATTTCCCCAAAGATTAGAAGTTTCTATCAGAAAAGTCTGCGTTGGGTGTAGAAAAACTATATTACTATTGCCCCCTCATCTTCATCCCCAAAGTCACCCATTGCCAACGTGATGCAAAAGTGGTCTGGTCTTTCCTAGCCTGTTCTTTTTTTCTACCAAGCATTCAGTGGGCTCTGGGTCTCCCACTATTCTGATTATCTAAAAAGGAAGGAAAATGCTCACTCCTGACTTGATATTTTAAAGTATTTTATGTCAGTCTGCTTTATTTTTTAAAATAAGAGCTTTGCAAAAGTCAGGCATGTGCAACAAACAACATGTGTCTTAGAGTTGCAGTGTTCTTTGTGGGTTCACAGAAGTGATATGTACCCCATGTCATAACTCACTCCTCTGTCCTGTGTATTTGTCTGTAGTGATGGAGGATTCAGGCATCCAGAGAGGCATCTGGGATGGAGATGCCAAGGCTGTCCAACAATGCCTGACAGATATTTTCACCAGCGTTTACACAACCTGTGACATCCCTGAGAATGCTATATTTGGTCCCTGCATTTTGAGCCATACTTCCCTGTATGACAGCATAGCCTTCATAGCTCTCAAGTCCACCGACAAGAGAACAGTACCTTATGTCTTCCGGGTAAGTGCTGGCCCATGTTGTGCAGGTGTGAGAGGGCAACCTCCTGTTGGAAATGGAACACATTCTCACAACAAGCAGAGCAGGCTCTGAGTGTAGAAGATGCAATAATGCAGGCAGTCCCAGTTTAAATGCCAAAAATGAGAAGATAAAAATCGAATCAAGTGATTGTAAATCCATTTTTCTGGAAAAAATGACAAAGTCTGCTTTGGAAATGCTAGAAAGGTGTGAGTCAGTACCTCAGTTCTGAGTCTTCCGCTCCATGCACCTGTCCTTCTAAACTCTGGGCTGGGGTTCTCTGCACACTAAGTGCTTTCAGAAAGTGTTTTTTGCAAATATTGGGTGTATTTGCTTTCCAGTCTTGGAGGCTGCCTCATCTCTGGATTGTTACTTTCTTTGGTAACATTAGCTAGTGCCCAGAGTTTGTTATTTAAATGAAAATGTTCATTGTTTTGACAGCGAAGCATCATTAAGTCCATATGTTTGAGTTTGAAGACAACAGGCCTCTCACTTCCTATTCTTTCTTTACAAAGAAAAGCTATTAATTGTCCATGCCAAAATCAGGAAGATGCCTGCCTTGGAATAATTTCTCAGATCTAGACGTGCACTTTATTTCCGAAACAAGATTCCTCTTACTTTCGTACCTTGGGAGAATTTAGAAGTAAATTCAGAAGAGCCTAAAGCTACTTTGCATTTAAAGAGGAAAGCTCTTCAGTTGGTATTCAGCCAATATAGGAAAAAGGCTTAATCTATATGATTGATGCAGGTTTCAAAAAGATCCTTACCTTGCCTACTGGTTCAAAGCATAGGTTTTTGTCCCAACTTGGCTCAAGTTTTGGAAGCTTGGTCTCAGATAGTTCTCTGGAAAAGAGAGGAAAGAGTCCATTTGTCTGTCTTTGTTTTCTCACAGGGATGTGTTCTTCTCCTTCCTAATCCCTCTATTTTAAATTACAGGTAGACACCTCATCGGCAAATGGCTCCTCGGAAGGTCTCATGTGGCTGCGGCTGGTCCAGTCGGCCAGAGACAGAGAAGAACAGAACCTGGAAGCCTACATCAAAAACGGACAGCTGTTCTACCGCTCTCTCCGCAGGATTGCCAAAGACGAGGAGTTACTAGTTTGGTACGGGAAAGAACTGACTGAGTTACTCTTGCTCTGCCCCTCTAGATCCCACAGCAAACTGAATGGTAGGTTGGCTCGCGACTTGCGCGTGGGCCCTTCGCGGGCTGGGGAAAGGAGCAGGGAGCCGTGGCAGGGCCACCGGCGCCTCGGGGCGCCTTTCTTTCCTCTGGGCTCTCCGTGGGAAGCTCCTGGGGATGCAGCCCGGGATGAAGCTGGGAGAGACGGGAGGATAAGTCGGGACGCGCTTGGCTTGGTTTCTGTACTCCCCCAAATCAGGAAGGAAAGCGAGATCAGGCCGGATAGTCTGTTTTCTCGGAGCTGAAGGTGGCTTGCGAAGGGGATGATGGCAGTGGCCCGGGCGATGCTGAGTAATCGTGTGGTGTGCCTGTGTGTGGTGTTTGCTCACTAAGCAGGGTCGTCCCCTTATACATGCCTGGAATGCAGCCAGCGTTTCCAGTTTGAGTTTCCTTATGTGGCGCATCTGCGTTTCCGCTGCCCCAAGAGACTTCACAGCGCTGATCTGAGTCCCCAGGACGAGCAAGGCGGCGGCGTGGGCACGAAGGACCACGGGGGCGGCGGCGGTGGAAAAGAGCAGCAGCCGCAACAGGAGGCATCCTTGGGTTCGGGCCCCAAATTCTGCAAAGCCGGCCCCATCCACCACTACCCGGCCCCCTCTCCCGAGAGCAGCAACCCACCCCCCAGCGCCAGCGGCGGCAGCGGCAGCAGCAGCAGCAGCAGCAGTAGCAGCAGCAGCGCAAAGCCATCCACAGACTTCCACAACCTGGCCCGGGAGCTGGAGAACTCGAGGGGAGGCGGCAGCTGCTCCGCAGCCTCTGGGCTCAGCG